ATTATAGAATTTATTTTCCTTTTGCTTAGTTATCGCCAATTTCTACCCTCATATGTCTTAGAATAAGCATGGAATCATAATTATTTTTCCATTTCCATTTGTATTCTGTTTGCATTCCTTTGTATGAAATTAAAATTTGTGCTAAACTTAACCAAAGACAATAACATTTACATTTTACAATAACATTTTAATTTTTCATTAACATGACTCTTCTTTTTGAGATAATACATTAACATAACTCTTTACAAAAATTTTTACTAAACACCACACATAAAACTCACCCCAAAAATACTTTTACTAAAAGCTAGTCTCCCAATACTTTAATTTAATTCAGTCAAAATACAAGCACTTGCCTCCCGTAGATTTTTACTTTTTTCCTCTCTTGCTAATGATATTTCTTACTTTTATATGTGAATAAAGGAAAAAAAAAGAACAAGACAAGCACTAGCCTAGATAAATAAGTATACAGTCTGGTTGGTCATTGACTCATAAAAGTGATTTGTCTTTGTTGTTGGACTGTTCATCATGTTTAAATTACTAAATAATACTTATTGGTTTTAAATCAAAATGTAGTATATGCAAAAGACTTTCCACAAACTGTGTTCAATATAACTTGTGCCTCTCTCAAGTAAAAGCATCTTTGTTTTTCCTTCTTTTACTTTTGGGCGAGTAAGATGGCCTACAGGTGAACTGAAAGCAAGTCTGCTTTGTGAGGAGGTGAAGTGTAGACCAATAAAGCCACAAGCTTTATAAGCAGAGTGTCTTTTTAGCATGTTCTAGATATGCCTTAGTAAGTACAAATATCAAGTTAGTTTAGAAGGCAGGTTATAGCCCTACAGACTCGGTGTTTAAACGGTTTGAGTTGAACCTATCTGCAATTTTAAATGACAATGGAACTAACCTTGGAAAAAATGAATAAACTGATTGAGAAATCATTGAAAATAGAAGTTGCTGATTGAAACTCACTTGATTATAACTAAAGGTGATTTTATTGACTTTATGATATTAGTCTAACGTAATCTGGTTGAAGGTGAATTGAAGATTGAGTCAGCAAAATATAGGCAGCAAAATTAACTTTCTTGTTTCCTGAAATGTAAGAATATTTATTCGTAAAGGTATGACTCTCTCTCTCAAATATGACAGTTTAGGTATGTGTTTATGTGGATGGTTATGAGAATAGGAATATGCTTGTCTGCTATCAATGTGCATGCTTTTCCTTGAGGAAAAATGATTAATTTTTAATTCAACCCACTCAGTTGACAATATGATGATATTGTCTCTTTATTTGTTACTTTAACCATTGCAGGAGGTCCTAGCGGGTCTGGGAAGACAAGTTTAGCTCATAAAATGGCAAATATTGTTGGCTGTGAAGTAGTGTCCCTTGAAAGCTATTTCAAATCTGAACAAGTAAAGGATTTCAAGTATGATGACTTCAGTTCTCTTGATTTACCCTTGCTTTCCCAGGTAACTCCTTGGTGGTTTCTTGTATCTTATCAGCATAGTTTCATATAAGATCTATCTGCCTCTTGTACAGCATCTGTAATTGAGACATTTGATAGGGAAAGCCTCTTGAAAACAAAACTTAAAGGATGAGCGATGTAAGACGAGTAGCAGTTTAACTAATTTATTTCATAGATAACTTAGAGATAAAGAAATTTAGGAGAGAAACAAAAAAAATAAAGACAGACGAAAGGAAATCAGAGATCAAAGTGACAAATGTATAGGGAAATAGATTTAATCTGGTAGATTAGATATAACAATAACTAGAAGAAGAAAAAAGAGAGAAACTGAGAATAAAAGTTCGACAAAGAAATTAGTAATTGATCATCGTCTATTCTCTTGTTGTTGGCTGCTAGCTTTCATGTAAACATTAGTTACAACTAATAACGAAAACTATGAATAAAAAATATTCTAGTTTCTATAGTATCTAAAATCTACTTCAAAGGAAACTAAAATGTTATAATATCTAAATAAACTTAAATATTTAAAATACAAAATAAAAATATAATTAACAAAAAATAATTTAATACGAAATTATTCCAAAAGTAAGATATTCTTGTTTTGGATCATTGAGTCTGTTATCTTATTGAAGGCAACTTGTACTTCTTTTTATTTCTTGAACCTCCTAATGTAAGTATGGTATTTTCCTTTTTAGAAAGACAGATGGCTAGGTAATTCTATCAAAAACTTCATATCTTTTATTTACCTTGGTTGTTATTCCCCCTTTCTTTCTGGTTGGGAGGTGAGGGAAGATAACCTGTCCTGGGCTTCTAAGTAGTTGACTGCTCCTTAGGCATGTGGAGTCCCATTGTTGCACTTTCATCAAGCAATATGCAAATGCTTAGAAGCTTATGATGGGGTAAATTAGAGGTTCCTAGATGGACTGATGGAGCGTAAGGAACTGGGGGATAGGTGGGAAGGCAAATTCTAGGGCATCTATCATTTGTCTCTTTTGTGTATGATTTTTAATGGAAAACCCATGATTGGTTCACAATCTTAAAGGGAATTAGACGAGGATACCCCTTTTCAACTTTTTTATTCACCCTTAATGCATATGTTTTAAGTAGGATGTCTAATATAGCGACAGGTAGGGGTATGGTGAAAAAGGCATCAAAGTAGGGAAGGAGAGTGTTGAGGTCTTAAATCTACAATTTGCTGATGACACAATCCTATTTTTGGAACATGGTAATAGGTCTATTGTGAATATACTCACTTTTATCCAATTTTTTGAAACTATTTCAGGATTGAAAATAAATTTGGCTAAGAGTGGTATCATGGGGATTAACATTGAGGATGAGGGGATTGACCATCTTGCTGAGTCAATAGGATACATCAGATTACCATGGCCCATTACCTACTTAGGTGTTCCACTGGGGCTAATCCAAGGAGTAAGACATTTTTGGAGGAGGTATAAAATGGGATAATTAGGCGGCTGGAAAGTTGGAGAGGGGGTCTTTTTTCCTTAGGGGGAGAGCCCTCGTCCAGACATGTCTTTCTAGCATATCATTTTATTTTATTTTATCACTTTTCAGGATTCCCACTAGGGTAGTTGAGAGCTTAGAGGGATGGATGAGGAGATTTCTATGGTAGGAGCAGGGAAGGAGAATAGGGATGACCTAGTCAGATGGGAAATGTGTTGCCAATCCGAGAGTTCAGGCATTGAAAATCTAAGATCAAAGAATGTATTGTTACTGGCTAAACGACTATGGTGGCTTTTCGCATGAAGCAAACTCTTCGTTACTGGGTGATAAACAATAAATGGGAGTGCACAGGAGAGTTGGGATGCCTTAGCAGGAAGATTTGTTACTCACCATGTCTCTAGAAGTTCATCTCCCAAGTCCATTCTTTCTATGTCCCATTCACCTTACTCGATGTGCGAGATGGATCCAGAATCATGTTCTGGGAAGATACTTGAGTGGGGGATCAACCATATGACCACCAAATTTCCTAGATCATACAATCTTTTTGCCAAACACAAAGCCCATGTATCAATGTTCACCCAGGACACTAATGGGAGAATAACTTGGGACTTCCACTTCAAACGTATCTTATCTGACAGGGTATCTTCTGATAGCATCCTTCCTAGCCATGTTGGAACCTACTCGACTTCACCCCAGCCAGACAGCAGATCCTGGACCCTTGAACTATTGGGGGTTGTATACTTGTAAGTCATTCAACCACCTAATGAAAAATTCCATTATTCTCAATTCCACATTGCCAAGGTATTCTAGAAAGCTTCAGTACCTTCAAAGATAAGGTCTTTTTTATCGATAGCCATTCATCAGAGGCTTAACACAAATGAAATTCTTTAACTTTGTCACCCTCAATGCACCTTGCCTCCATGCATCTCCTAATGTGTTTAGAGGAGGTGAGGACCATTCTCACATTTTTCTGCATTGCAATTTAGCCAGGAGGATGTTGACTAATTTGATGAGACTGTTCGGCCTGATTTGGGTGATGCCTGCCACAATGGAAAGTTTATTTATTTTTTTTGAAATAAGAAGTGACGTGTATGCTACAATGGAAAGTTTTATTTGCTCTAATATCTTCTGGGTGGGGGAAAGCTAGGTCTCTTTGGCAAGGGGTAATAGTTGCCAGATTATGTTGTATTTTCCATGACTGAGCTACTTCCTTGCTCTATTGGAACTAGGAAGCAATTAGTTATAGCTCGTAGGATTCTACAATTGTGTGATTGTATCTATTTTTTCTTCATTTTGAAGATGATACTCTACCCTCCATTTTTGTATTCCTTTCCCTCTGTTCCTAAATAAAATTTCTTTAATTAAAAAAAAACAGTTATGCAAATGTTTGGATATCCCAGGGTTTTCAGAACAAAACTAAAACTGTACTAATGCTTCTTGGTATCTGCAGCCTGTGAGGCTTGAACTTATATTTTGGCCGAGAAAATTTCAACCCTTTACATAAGGAAAACTGGTTCATTTGGCTGAATATCTCATTAGGAATGGTTTATATCTTTTTTGGGCAAAGTACCTTTTTTCACTGTCCTATCTCCTCCTGACATGTATAATAGCTATATGAGGACATGATTGCTAACTGTTAAGTGAACTGTTTAAATTTTGTCAAGAATCATAGATAAAATAGGTGGTCTTGTGTTTTTCTCCTCATTTTACCATGTTTTGGCTAGCATTTCACTTACATTATGATAGTTTTTTTGTTTTAATTATTTCTCGTAGTACCACTTTTATTTTCAATATTTTCTGCAGAATATTAATGATATAAGGAATGGTCGAAGAACAAAAGTACCCATATTCAACCTGGAAACTGGTGCTCGAACTGGCTTCAAGGAACTTGAAGTTTCTGAAGACTGTGGTGTGGTCTGTTGCCAGCTATGTAGACTTGCTTTTTCTTTCGTAATTAACATTTTCATATCACAGTGTTTGGCTGAGTTCAGGTTCAAAAGTGATAATTCCATGGAAAATGAATAAATGACAATAAAACCGGGATCAGGTTGGAATGGAAATAATATTCTAATCTCATTTCAATTCAGCTAAGCAGATTCATGATTCATTTTTATCTAAGTGGGTGTTAGAACTCCATCTCCAATTTTTAGGAATTCTTTAGAGGAGGGGAGTTGATTTATTGTGAATCAAACATAAAAATTATGACTTAATTCTACATATAAATAAAATTCTATTAACTAAAGATTCTCTGAACTTGGTAGCTCTGCTTAAATCATTCGTTTGAGACTTTGTTTTTATTTTGAGTAAATGTTTTGGAGTTTTAGCTATATATACTTGGGAGATAACTTTTCAAAGAAGACTTGGAATGTTGGCTCGAGGCACAAACTTTATGACATCTATGTCTTAAGGTCCTTTAGAGCAAGAAAGCCTGGTTGTTCACCTTCTTGGTGATGACTTTCTCTTTGGTCCAAGCAGGCTGACATTCATTTTCCATATCTAGCAACTGCTTAACCCAGTTTCGGGTATTGCTGCATAACAATCTTTTTACAAACAGCATATGAGCGTTTACCTGGTTTTAATTGGTCATCATCTGAACATTGATCTCACTTTTATTAATCAGATTATTTTCGAGGGGGTCTATGCATTGCACCCTGAAATCCGAGTATCCATTGACTTTTGGATTGCTGTTGTAAGATGATTTCCTCCATCTTTGAGGCTTTGATTTTCCTTAAATTCTTCCTTAATTGTGTTGTTTAGAAAAGGATTTATTTGGTCGGAGAGGTGGCTAACTTTCTTCTCTTCCCATTCAGGTTGGAGGTGTTCATTCACATCTAATTTCTCGAGTCCAGAGGGACAAAAGTAGAGTAGGGTGTTTTATTTCTCAAAACGAGATCATGATGACAGTTTTTCCAATGTTCCAGCAGCATATTGAACCTCATCTTGTTCACGCACATGTTAGTAGGCCTGGAAACATTTAGTTTTTATTCTTCCATCTTTTTTCATGTTAGAAAAAGGTATTCTAATCGTCAAAAATGTTTGTTTCAAGAATTCTAGTACGTATTATTTTATTGAGCCAATTTATGTTAATTCTTGTTGACAAAAGTTTCCACTGTTTTTGTGGAATTTTAAATATTTCTTTAGGACAAATTTCAAAGGAATTTTTGGTGATATATATAAGATCTTAAAATCATGAGAGTAGATTGCTCCTTTTTTTTGCATGTATATATATGTGTCATGTTAATAGTTTTGCTACCTTTTCTGTTAACACATGTACTTCGTATCAACTGGGTGATGAAAAGATTATAGTTTTCATTGATTAGGAAGGCATAAGTACTCTTCCTTTTATAGACACAATGCAATCTAAAAAGGGAAAAAGAAAAGTTTACAGCTCTACAACATGAATATAAAAAATACACAAACTGGTTTCTAGGAGTAAGGGTTAGAACGGTACAACATAAGTAGCAATAGGAACATCAAGATCGGAAATAGGTAAAGGGGTAGAATTTAAAGGGATGTTACCTGGAATTGGAGAACTAGGAGATGATGATTGGCCATCGTCAGGATTGACTGAAAGATTCCTAATATTAGGATTGAACCCATGCCCAGTATAAACGCAAAGCTCAGCAGACAAAGGTGGTAAAGTTTTCCCCCTTTTTCTAGTATCTATTTCCTGATTTATTTTAGGAAAAAAAAAGAGTTGGTTTTCGTTCTACTTGTTGGTGCCATAACTGACTTCCATTCAAATTCGCCCCCTGAAGAGTTAGTTTTGGTATACACTAGAATTATTTCAAGAAAATGGAGACCTGTACTAACATGAAACTTTTTAATGATTGGGTTAAAACACTTACCACCTTTTTTATTTGGAGTATATCCTACAAAAGGTATATTTTTTTCAGCTCATGGATCAAATTTGGACCTTGGATGAGACTGGAGCAGATGAAACCATAAGTTGCTTTTGTTGGGGTAAAGCTTTACAATTATGTAAAATACCTTTTTTAAGTAAAAAGTCTCCTAGATATTCATTAAAAGTTTCATTGTCACTTTGAAGAATAAAACTGGTCTTCGACCATGGAGTAAAAATTTTTAGTGAGTTTTCCAACTTCATCTTTGGAGTTGACTTGTGAAATTCAGTATAGACGTGTATAATCATCTACAAATGTCATACACAGTTTCTTTCCAATTAACCCAGTCACCCTAGAAGGACCCTAAAGATCTCTATTTATTATGTTAAAAGGCCTGAAAGCATGATATGGTTTAGTTTAATAAAAATTCTGATGGCTTAAGCCCAGCCAAAAATTTGAAAATTCAAGAGTTTTGTTCTTTCTTCTTATAGTAATTGCTATCATGCTTGTTCTTCCACTCAAAGTCATCATGGAATAAGTCAAGATCCTAACATAAACCCATGAGAATATTGCAGTATTTGGTGACCAAATTCTCACCTTGACGGACTTCCATCAGTTTGAGTTGTAACACATATCTGGGGACTGATTTCCGAGGTCTGAATACATCAAGGTCTGATTATCCCAAAGAGCTTTGGCAGTAGGATAACACGTGTAGCTTAAGCTTATCTTCTCCTCCATGGAATTCGTTGATCATGCCGTCATCATTGA